CACCACATCTTTTCAGGGGCAGCAAACCATCACAGACAATCAGCAACTGCATGTCTGTCTTAGATACAACACATTCCCTCTCTTCCGGAACAAGCTGTAAGCATGAAATATTGCAATGTAAGTAAAATCTTTAGCTACACATACTAATGTTCTGTGAACAAGAATCATGTGTTTTGCTTTGTCATTGTAATAACCAATGGTATTTGGAAGTTGCTCTATCAGCACAAAATCTCACTGCTGTGGCCTGGAAAACCCTCTCTTTCTGTTAAGACTCCAAGAAGGACTGCCAGCCGTGTATGTGACCACTGGGCAAATGATATAGCACAAGTCCATTATGCAAACAGGCCAAGTAGGTACATGGAAATCAGCAGGTTGTAATACACTACTCTGGGAATAAGTAACATAGAATGTGACACCTCTGGGAACCAAATGGTAGTGCAAAATATGCATGAACAACCCAAAGGGATAAGCATCTGTACTTAAAAAATGCAATTACTAATTTGCAATTACAAACGCCACACTTAGCAATTAGTTTTAAAATTGGTATTTTTTGTTTAACATGTGCCTGAGGACTGATTTATTATTTGATTTTAACTCCTAAATGAATTGCAGTTATTCTGGTAGTTATTAATTATGTAAATGAATGTGCAGGAGTTTATGTCTCAGTATCCAGTCTGGTTTCTATGGCTGCTATTTTATTCCTTTGTGATTTTGCTTTGTGACTTTGCTTGCCAATACTTACAAATTAAAACTAAGTTTTAATATATTTCTTGTCTTAAGCATAAGATTAAGGGTAGGGGTTGTTTCATTTGTGATTTGGGTGGGGTTTTTTTTCTCCATCTTCTGTTTTGTTTTTTTTTCTTATTAATTTCTAATTCAGTTGCTCCAAGTCTTTGGTATATCAGTCTGTTTCATATTAAAGGAATAAAAGCAATTTTCCCTGAATAAGCAACACTTGGTAATGTGTATTCTCTTTAGGCAAGAAGGAAGAATCCAAAAAGAAACAGTTCTTCCCAGAGAGGTGTAGCATGCCAGGCCTGGATGGTCTGGCTAGGTGCTACTTTGGGTTCCTCAGTGACAGGTCCTCAAGAAGGCGACGAATAAATGAGGGACAGGCACGATTCAGTGACCTGAAAAGTAAGAGTCTTTAATACCAAAACAACAAACACATAAGCTGAACAACAGTATAGGGTGCACCAAAAAGGCAAGGGCCAGGGTAGGTTACAAATTTATGTAAGGTAGGTTAGGGGCAGAGTCTGAGGGAAAGAGTCCAATAAAAAACAAGGATTAAGAATATATAAAACATTGCACCAAATTCTAACCAATAATAACAGACAAACTATAGAACTTCCTAGTGCTATTAACATATAACTTTTCAGGGGGCATTGTGGGTGAGCTTTTGCTCATCCTATCTGAAGGAGATCCTTCTGTCAAGGGCCTGGGGCAAAGTGTCTTGCCAGTCCTTTGTCCCGATGGACTCCAACAAGGAGGGAAAGAAATGTCACCAGTGAAACATCATAGCATTGATATGAGGATCTCAGCTTAAAGGGGCTGGTTGATGTTGGCTGAGAAAAATGTTGGCCTTTGCTGACACTGAATCTCTCTTTTTCTTCCTGGAGGGATACCTCCACTGTGGAGGGCAGCAATCAGAGCCAGAATCAATATCAGGGATCAAGGAACCACAGGAAAAAGGGGATTTCTACTCTGCCTACAGCACAGTGAGAAGATTTGGATTAGCTGCCTAAATCAAGGTCAGATGCTAAGAGAATATTAGAAGCATCATCTGTGGGGAAGAATCATGGAATAGGTAAGTCTGGAAGGGACCACAGTAGGTCACTTCATACAATCTCCCTGCAGCAGACATAATTAAGCAAAGAGCATGCACACGGAAGGAATACAAGAACACTGACAAGTAAGTCTCTAATTGCTGAAGCAGTTACAAGCCAGTGGGAGAAATAGGAAGAAAAAATCTACCTGATTGGAAAGTGGAGGTGGAGGAGATTATCTCAAGTCTGTCTGCATTTTGTACTTCTGATAGATTCAGGACTCAGCAGTTTGCTCACACTAGTACCTGAAGCCTCCCCTGTGGCATTATGAGGTCCTGATACTTTATGCAGTTTCCCACTGCCCTCCTGATCTTCTAGTACCAATGTCTGTCAGAAAGTGTTATGCAGATCCTGCCTTGTTAGATCTTGGGACTTTCCAAAGGGCTTTGACCTGGTCAAGAGCAGGCTGAATTTATAGTCAGCCCAAGCTGAGGTGAAGGAATCCTGGACTTCAGATGATGGAGATTTTAAACTTCAAAGGACCCTTGGGTGCACTCTAGCAGGCAGAGCCTAGACAGAGCCTGGGAGTCCCAGGCCTTTCAGAGCTTTGCAGTGGTTAGTTATGGTGAGTGGATGTTGTGGATCCTGCGGGTTTCCATGTGCTTTCCAGTCTAAAGATTCTGAACTCACGGAATTCAGCAAAGCACATAAATGACCCTAGGATTTGTTGTAGTGGGAGGAACTTCCAGCTAGATTTCTGTAATGACATACGAACATTCCTTTATCCTTGTACCTCTATCCAGCCACCAGCCAAAAACTCTGTGTGAAATGTTCTTGATGTAGAGTGGTGTGTGATTCCCTTATAATTTGGGGTGAGTTCAGGCTTTAATCATGAAACCTCACAGACTGGAGCTCTGTGAAGAAAGGAGAACATGCAGTATTCTTTCAAAAGGTTGCAGAGTTTCCTTAATATCTACTCCCCGGAGCCATATAGAAAATTCATTAAGCTATCTAAATGCTTTCCAGAACTTTTGCTGCATGGAAGCATCCTCATGACTGTAATGCATGCTTTGACTTACAGTCAAAATTGTTATTTCCAATAATAATAATAATAATAAGCTGGTTGATTACTATCACCAATTCCTGGATGCTAGAAATTTAAAAAAAAAAAAAAATTCAAATATTTTTCTAATGACAGAATAGAAAATAAAAAAGATCTACCATTCTTGGACCAAAATATGAGTTAGGCTAGTTCTAAAAATGAGACAATAGAAAATTCTACTTTCTGCTCTTGAGAAATTATTTCAAAAATATGAAGTTACTATGTAAAATGTAATAGAGTAAGTGAACTTAATCTTAGTGGCTCAGAAATACAAAGTAAACCTGTGGTACAGTGAATAGTAGCAGCCTTTTGGGTAGCTATTACTTATCTAACAGTATATTAATGTCTCAACTATGCCTGAACTTGTTAGACATGACACTCCAGTCTTGGAGAAGTTCATTGCAGTAGTTTTTTGCCTTAGGACATACAAATTTGATCCTTCTAACTTCATAAATTTTTATGATACATAAAATTTTTTATGATACATATAAATTCTCTGATGTGTTCATCAAAACCTGACCATGACCAGACTGTCAATATACAGAATATGAGGATGTTTTGTAGTTCTTTCATACTGCTAGGCTTGCTTTTCTTTCCCAGCATTTGAGGGGAGGAAATGATAAGAGCCTTGTATTGTGCTGAAAGACAAGAAAACATGAGAGTATGTCTACTGGTCTAATGTGGGTCAGAATAGCCTTTCAGAATTGAATAGAGCCATGCTCTTTTGTCTTGAACTGAGGCAGACTCAATAAAATAATATTTGCATTGCAGAAATTATTTCCACATGCATGAGCTGCCTAGGAAACACAGGCTGAGGAAAATTTTACAGGGACTACAAGAGAGAAAAGAGTGATTTTTAAATACCTGGAGGAGAAAATACCTTGAAAAAAGTAAGTCTTCTTCTGCTGAAGGCTTAATCAACTTTGGCCTGAAACTTCTGGCTTCAGGAATTTTGGATTCTGCTACCTGAAGGACTGGCCATGTGCATTTGTTTCAGAAAGGCTCACCTAGTTGTAGAGCACTGCTGACTCTCTGACTTCTTTGAAACAAGACAAGGGCTGTCTCTGTTTCAGCACTGAACTCATTCACTGGTCTAGGCAATGGAGTGGCTCAAAAAAAGGGATGAAGGAAGACTGCAAATCATGAATGAGGATGGTGGCAAGGATGAACCTGGTCATCTTCACTGAATGTTTTGGAGGGAGAGGCTTTTGTCTGAGAATGAAGGCTGTCAGGAGATTTGATAGCAGCTAGAGAAAATAGCATGTGTATAAAGTTGAATCCATGTTCTTCTAAGAGGAAGACAGTGATAGAACAGGACAAGAGACACTAAACACAATGTGAGAAATTATCACTTGTTATTAGAATTTTTTTTCACTAGAAGAGTGATGTAGCACTGGAATTGATGACAGGAGAGTCTGCAGTGTCTCCCGCCTTGGAAATAACCAGATATTGACTGGATGAAGCCCTGAACAAATGTGACCTCAGCAGGCCTTAGTCTGAGCAAGTAGTTTTCATAAATAATGTACAGAGGTCCCTTCCAGCCTGAATTATTCTGAGATTCTGGGTCAGATCCTAGAGCTGTCAATAGAAAGACCTGGGCTATCATGCTTGAGGATGGAGCAGTGTGTTTGACTCATGATTAGGTTGGAGTCACTCATGAATTCAGTGTATTTCATTACAGAATGTCAAATTCTGTGGGGAACCTGACAGCTACAAACTTTCTGACTCTTCAAGGCAAGAAATTATTTGATGACATATATCACTAATAAATGCTGGTATTTATCATATCCAGCACTGTCAGATGATCCATTTGAAATTTTCATGATTCTTTGGACCAGGGCAAAGAGCTTAGTTCCTGTGAGAAGGCAAAAGTGTTCTTTGGCCCAAATTTTCAAAGCCTCCAGTTCCTCATTTGAAACTTAATCTGCAGTGAAAAGGTCTCAAGAAAATGGCAGTGGGATGGATCAAAGCAAATGCTCTGGGTGACACCCTGCTCTTGAGGGATGCTCTGGGGACAAAGATGTCTGTTGGTACTTCATCACAATGGTAATGGTCTAGGTTGCAGTGGGTAAGTTGATGGATTGCTGTTTACATCAATATTTTCTGCTGAAAAGCAAAATTCAAAGAGGACCTCTGATATTTTATTTTATTTTTGTGGCAATATGGCCAGCTTTGCCCATAATTAATACTATAGTATGAGCTGGGAATTCTGTTTCTGCTTGAAAATGAGACGTGCAGCTGTGGCACTTCATCACAAAATGTGCACTTAAGCACTTTCTTACACATTCATTGTGGCAGGCTTCTGCAGAACACAAGGCATTCTTCAAGTTGAGCTTTCTCTAAACACCCTGACAAGAGTGCACAACACTGCAGTTCTATGCTCTTCATGTCGGATAGAGGTGCCATACCATTCTTCACTTTCATAATAATGCTCTTGGCTATTTTCAGTAGCTGCCCCTGTAGCAAAAAGCTGTAGAAGTAGAAGCTGCTGCAGGGCTTCAGCTTTCCCACTGTGGCACATCAAACACTTCCAACTCACTGGTGCACTCGGTACTAGCCTTCTCTGCTGCCACTTCCATGGCATTCTCTGCATCTCAGAGACTAAAGGAAGGTGCAAGTGTTCCCGCAGAGAGCTGCAACAGAAATAGGGAGCAGCATAAGGAAGCTGTGGCTGAACTCCTTCCAGACCACAGCTAACGTCAATTCGGCCTCTGGGCGAGTGGTAGCTATGTTCCTCTTGCAGTCCGAAATCTTCGCTCACAAGCCGGCTGCTAAGCGCCTTCCTTACTCGCCTTCTCGCAGCGCTTGCGCTTTCCCGCATCCAGAAACAAACCGGGATCTTCTCGCACACGTGGATTGTTGTGCCTGTTGCCAAGCACTGCAGAGCACTGTTTATGACGAAAGAGGATCGCTTCTTGCAGATAGCTTCTCTGAGCTTCGGAGCCCAGCAATCTGTGTCTCTTGGTCCAAATGCAAGTGGAAAGCTTTTCCACTGCAGCTGGCAAGGAGAAACTGTGCCAGGACAACACATTTGTCGGGAGCTTGCCCCTGCAACTTGTGCAAACATGTATTTGCAGCTCATTCAAGCAGCACTGCTCTTTCTTGCACAACCTGAAATCTGCTGTCAGATGGCTGTGCTCTCTCTCTACACGGTCCTTATCAGCTCGAAGGACCAGCACTCACGTTAGAGGTTTGCAAGGACTAAAGAACCACATAAGAGAGTGGCACAGATGAAATGGGCCAGGAAAAAGCAATTGCTTCATGTGCCCTCGTCATCAGCCAGCTTGTGGTCCTGTGTTGAAAGTCTTTACCACAGAAGGACTAATGCAGCAAAAGGGCTTCTCTCCTGGCTTCTTTGGCTAAGGAAGAGCTGCACGAATGAGTTGGATACTGTGAAGCAGAATGAGAACCTTTGTTGCTCGAGCTGAGAAAAAACCATGCACAACACGCCGTGGCTGTGTGCAGTACATGCCTTGAAAAGCAGCAAAGCTGAATGCCACCGCTGATCAAGTGGCAGAGCGCTGGGCTTGTGTGAACAGTGTAGTGAATTGCAAAATGCTGCAAGAGCTCATTCTCAATCAGATACAGCTGAGAATTCTCTTGATGCTTGAAAATGGGATGCGCAGCCGTGGCACTTCATCACAAAATGTGCACTTAAGCACTTTCTTACTTTCTTACTTTTCTTACAGTGTGGCAGGCTTCTGTGGAACACAAGGCATTCTTCAGGTTGAGCTTTTTCTAAACAGCCTGACAAGAGTGCACAACACTCTGTGGTTCCACACTCTCCTTCTCAGACAGAGGTGCTGTCCCATTCTTCACTGTCACAAGTTTCTTGGTGACTTTCCGCAGCTGCCCCCATAGAAAAAGGCTCTAGAAGTAGAAGCCAGTGCACAGCTGGAGCTTTCCCATTGCAGGATGTAAAGCACTTCCTACTCACCGGTGCACTCAGCCTTCTCTGCTGCCACTATGTCCTGGTTTAGGGGAAATTTGGGAAAAAAACTTCCAAATGGGGTTCCTCCAGAAAGCAAATTCAAGAGACCCCTCCCCCAGCTGCTTTGGGAAAAAATATTTCCTTGGAGAAAAGTGGTAAAAACTGTTTATTTAAAAGAAATTGAATAATATTAAACAATAAAACCTCTCCCTGTTCGATGAGATAGCAAATCCAGGAAAAAGTCCTTTTCATGTGGTGTAGCTTGGCTCGCTCACGTTCTTATCAGTCCCTCCAGGGCTGGAAAGTGCCAAGGCCCAGGCGCTGGTGGGCCACAGGTGTGAGCTCCTGGGGATTGTCTGGGTTTTCAGTCCAGGGCAGGTTTGAACAGATCCAAGAAAAAGGAAACAAATGCTCCAGGGAACTTCTCTGCCTCAGCTAGCTACAACCTAACTAAAAGCAAAGGAGAGCTCTGTCCCGCTGTCTGTCCATGTTGCAGTCCAGGGGCAGGATGCGGGACAGTGAGTGTTTTTCCTCAACACAAACTGCACGCTTCTTCTTCCCCGCTTTGCTCTCAGAGCCAGTGCAGAACTTAATATGTAACATACATACAAAGCAACTGGGCAACTGGGGATACAAGCATCATAAAGTCACCCTAGGACATTCCACCCCTTATCCCCATATTGTCAACTTTTTACCAAAACTAATATCTATTCTAACTCTACAAACACATACATTATACATACACATATATATACATATATACAGACAAGGACAGTGATATTCAGCAAACAGTGATATTTACTCATAGTTCTCACCCAACAATCAGATCTTTCTGAGGTACACATCGTGTTGTTCCATCTTTCTGCATTATACACCATGTGCAACCTGGTCCCTGAGCAAAGACAACCCCACAAATGGGTTTATCTGTACTTGAAGCAGAATTGATCCAAACTGTCTTCCCTAGCAAACCTCTGACATGTACCACTGGGACTTTGTCTCCGTGTACTGTATGCAGTGGATCAGATTGGGCAGGGCCTGCTCAGTTTGTGGAACCTCTGGTGTTGACTAACCAGGTGGCCTTTGCTAGATGTTGCTCCCAATTTTTGAAAGATCCCCCACCAAATGCTTTCAAGGTAGTCTTTAGCAGTCCATTGTACCTCTCTACTTTCCCAGCTGCTGGTGCATGGTAAGGGATATGGTACACCCACTCAATACCATGTTCCCTAACCCAGGTGTTTATAAGGTTATTCTTGAAATGAGTCCCATTGTCTGACTCAATCCTCTCATGGGTGCCATGCCTCTAAAGGACCTGCTTTTCGAGTCCCAGGATGGTGTTCTGGGCAGTGGCATGAGGCACAGGGTAAGTTTCCAACCATCCAGTGGTGGCTTCTACCATTGTGAGCATGTAGTGCTTGCCTTGGCGGGTTTGGGGCAGTGTGATGTAGTCAATTTGCCAGGCTTCCCCATACCTATATTTGGACCAACACCCACCGTACCATAGCAGCTTCAACCTCTTGGCCTGCTTGATCGTGCACACGTCTCACAGTCATGGATAACCTGAGAAATGCTACCCATGGATAGGTCCACCCCTCGGTTTTGTGCCCACTTATAGGTGGCATCTCTCCCCTGATGACCTGAGGCATCATGGGCCCAATTAGCTAGGAACAACTCTCCCTTGTGTTGCCAATCTAAGTCTACCTTTGACACCTCTATCTTTGCAGCCTGATCCACCTGCTCATTGTTTCGGTGCTCTTCATTAGCCCTACTCTTGGGGACATGGGCATCTACGTGACACACTTTTGCAGGTAGTTTCTCTACCCTGATAGCAATATCTTTCCACTCATCAGCAGCCCAGATTGGTTTTCCTCTACACTGCAAATTAGCCTTTTTCCACTTCTCCAGCCATCCCCACAGAGCATTGGCTACCACCCATGAATCCGTGTAGAGGTAGAGCTTTGGCCACTTCTCTCTTTCAGCAATGTCCAGGGCCAGTTGAACAGCTTTGAGTTCAGAAAGTTGGCTTGATCCACCATCTCCTTCAGTGGCCTCTGTGACCTGTAGTGTGGGGTTCTATACAGCTGCTTTCCACTTCTGGTTCATCCCTACGACGCGACAGGAACCATCAGTGAACAGAGCATAGCGTGTTTCTTCTGCTGGCAGTTGGTTGTACGGTGGAGCTTCTTCAGCCCGTGTCACTTGTTCCTGCTCCTCTTCATCAGTGAGACCAAAGTTTTCACCTTCTGGCCAGTTTGTAATTAATTCCAAAATCCCAGGGCGATTTGGGTTTCCAATACGGGCGCGCTGCGTGATGAGGGTGATCCACTTGCTCCATGTGGCATTTGTGGCATAGTGGATAGAGGGAGCCTTTCCTTTAAACATCCACCCCAGCACTGGTAGTCGGGGTGCCAGGAGGAGTTGTGCTTCTGTGCCAATCACTTCTGAGGCGGCTTGAACTCCTTCATAGGCTGGTAAAAATTTCCTTCTCCGTGGGAGTGTAGTTGGCTTCAGACCACCCAAAAGTGGTCAGCCTCGAGTCTCCCCAGGCACTTTCTGCTAAAGGCTCCAGGACAAGCCATTGTTCCCGGCTGCAGAGTAGAGCACGTTCTTCACGTCTGGTCCAGTTCTGACTGGGCCAAGGGCTACTGCATGAGCAGTCTCCTGCTTGATTTGGGCAAAGGCTTGTTGCTGTTCAGGGCCCCACTGGAAAGTGTTCTTTTTGTGGGTGATCAGGTAGAGAGGGCTCACAATTTGACTGTTCTCAGGAATGTTCATTCTCTAAAAGCCTATGGCACCTAATAAAGCTTGTGTTTCCTTTTTGCTGGTTGGTGGAGACATTGCAGTGACCTTGATGACATCACTGGGAACCTGACACCATCCATCTTGTCACTTTATGTTGGAGTCAGAGGCAAAGACTGTGTGCCCTTATCTATGATACCTGGTTCTGACATGCAAGAAAGCACTGAATTTCACATAACACCATGGAAGCAACTGTTAAAATTAAATGGAAAAAATGTGAGTGTGAATGTGTAAGTTAGAGAGTTCTCTTAAGTCACTAGGTGAGAAAGTTGGAGTTTTAGGTTTAAGCTCTTTTAAGAAACAAAAGACAAGATGGAGGATTTAGGGTGTTGTCCCCTCCTTCTTCTTTCTTCTTCATCTTCTTCTTCTAGGGACTTTTGGGTAGTAGTAAGTAATTGGATTGAAGATGCTGCAGTGCAGCACAAGGTATCAGGTCATTGGGTCACTAAGAAAAATAATTTACGTGGTGTTGATATATTTTATATATTAGTAAAGGCCTGACTGCACAAACCAGCCTTTGAAATAAGTTGTGATATTAAGGGCTAAAATCCTTGAAACTTGCCTGCAGAAGAGAGTGTAAAATAAAACAATATCCTTGTGTGTAGGAGAAAAAATGCAAACTGTGTGTGTTAGCCAATAGTAGCTTGCTCTGCTCGCAGACCCTGTAAAACCCTATAAAAGGTGTGCTAAAGATAGAAATAAACGGTGTCCACGTTTACTTCTGTGAAGGCTGGTGAATAGCTGGCGAACTCTCAATAACTTGGTATTTGTTAATTGGATAAGTAGACATATAAAAGACCTTGAAGAAGTTCTTTGTTAGCCATTTTGCACCTCTCTTAGTGTACATAGCTCCTTGTACTCTGTATATATGTAATATAGATAAGAAAAGAATAAACAGCCAAGTCTGAACAGGAGAAGACAGCCTCTGTCTCATTACTCTCAGTTCTAAAAGAAAAGAACCCTGTTATTAATGACGCACTCCTGACATTTTGGCGCCCGAAAAGGGACCTTTTGGACTGAGAAACTCTCTTGAAGAGGGCAGCAAAAAGCTGAAGAACTCCCTGGAGAGGGGAGAAAAAGAAAGAAGAGCTCAACCATCTCTCTAAACTGGTGGGAGCAGGAGAATGCCAGAATGCGTTGGAGTCACGGGGGGATCAGGTGGGCTTGGAGCAGGATTTGCCAACCCCACAGCACCTCACTAAGTCCTCTGTGTGTATTTGGTAGTTAAGTAGCACCTGGGGTGAACTGAAAGTCCCAGTTCTAAAAGAAAATTCTGTTTAACTTGTACATGTTAACTGGGGTGTGTGTCCTCCAGTACAAATCAGTTCTTCTCTGAAGTGGTGCTTGGCAGGGGTCTTTTCCTGTTAAAGTGCAGGCATGTTTAGCATAACACAGTGAAGGTAGATTATTTACTTCAGCAAATACTAGTGTGTGGAGGATTTTTCAGGTACTCCATTTTTCAAGTGCTCCACCTTGACCCTACACCAACCTCTGCAAACCCTGCACATGCTGGACAGGACATGTTCACATCCAACCAAGGAGAACACATCGTGTTTAGAGCATCACAGCCACGGACTAGAACCATTGGAACCTGGGCGTAGGCATGGCAAATCCTACTACAAATCAAGTTTGAATGAAGGGGAATACACAGCATCAGAAGTTTCTCAAAAGTTCTTCTGTTGTGTTTTACTGCTAGCATTGTTTTAATTCTCATTTTTCTTGCTAAGGTGAAAGAGTCATACAGTGTGCAGGGCTCCACCAATAATGTAACAGCTCAGCATGTGTGATTCCCACATTAGAAAAGCTTCATTTGAAATAGTTTTAAAGAGGTTTCTTTTACATTTAATTGGTCGCTTTTTTATTCTCCTTATTCTTTTTTTTTGTGTTATTGCAACAGCAAAATGAAAGAATTAAAGTAATTTTTTGGCTTTAATTGGGCAGTTGTGAAAAGCCCGAGTCTGAGGCAGACTCTTATGGCTACACTCTAAATTTGATACTATTTTTTCTCCATTCTCTCAACTGTTCATCCAATAGCTTATGCAACATTGCTACAGTAGTTCAGAATAGATATTAAAAAGTCATAGATACTGGAGCTAAAAACATTTTTAAAGAAATAAAATACGTCTCAGGTGCAGTTGCTCTACAAGCATCAAGTGCATCCCATGGAAGAGGCAGGGCCACACTCAGAAGGTGACAGAGCACAGGAAAAGCAGCCACCACTAAACAAACTCTCACGCCTTTCAGCAATTCCTGCTTCCCTGT